TTCTTCATTGATTTTATTGCTACTCTGCCTCTTCCCCAAGTATGGTCTTATATTCAATATAAATCTCCTATAAACGCATCTGGCAATTTTGATTTACGGAGAGAAATGAAAGTAAAGTGATTTGGAGAAAGACTTGGCAGAACAGCACCTTCAGAAAATAGAAGGAGTTTTCTAGTCACGTTAGTTGTAGAGATGTCACAGTACCCCCAATTCTTATGAATGAATGGGATAAATAAAGTTGAACAGGCCAAAATTTATCCATTTCTTTCCTGTACAGAACTACAGTTGGGAATGCATTGAGCACTTTGCCACTCTGCATAGTGAAACTTTCATCTATTTCTACATGCCGTATGCTTTTTATTTTCAGTGTTGGCTTAAGATGGCATCTTTACATGGTATAGTTACCTCATTAGTCAAATGATTTTCCCAAGGCGCGGTTTTCACCTATTTAATTTCTATGTGCTATGCTATAGTTACAAACCTGGAGTGTCTGAGTTGTTTCAGAAATCTTTTACCATGTGAGACAGAGAGATCCTAGCTGATGGCAATTTTCTTTTCCAGATGCTCATTTGGTTTATTATACCCGCAACAAGAAGCCCTCTTGCTGATCAGAATAATAATGCTCTGGCATTGATTGTTCTGCTCCAATATGTTCCAAGATTGTATTTGATCTTTCCACTCAGTTCTGAAATAATTAAAGCAACTGGAGTGGTTACAAAGACTGCATGGGCGGGAGCTGCGTATAATCTGCTTTTGTATATGCTGGCCAGTCATGTATGAATTTTTGGCAACTACTTTGCACTTTTGCAACTCATATAATCATATGGAGTAGTTTTAAATTTCTGCCTCACCAAATGTACGCCTTTATTTCTGTTGCAGGTTTCAGGAGCGGCATGGTATCTTCTATCAGTGGACCGTTATACCTATTGTTGGAAATCTTTTTGCAAAAAGGATTCTAGTCCTAAAGATTGCTTTGTTTACCTGGACTGTGATTCTCTTAACCGTGAGCAGCGCAAAATATGGGCAAATGTTACAAGTGTGTTCAACAACTGCGATCCCAGCAAAAAACTTTTTGCTTTTGGCATATTCGAATCTGCAGTGTCAAAACATGTTGTCTCCACAAACTTCATGTCAAAGTATTTCTATTGTTTATGGTGGGGTTTGCAGCAACTTAGGTATGAATCAATATTTCCATTCCAACAGAAATGGAAAATGATTTTGTAAATGGTGCATTTCAATAATTCATGTTAGTTCTTCACGTCTTGAAGCTTAGTCATTACATGTTGCATTTTCTAAGCAATTCCACAGGCGGCAGTGGCACTTTTTTATTCAAATGGCATTAGATTTAAATTTAATAAATTCGGTGCTGTTTGAATAGGCCAATGCCACGTTACATACTGGTCATTACTTCCCCCAAACCCTCCAAAATAAAAGGGGGGGTAGAAGTGGCAAAAATACGACCCCTCACTTATTCTTATTTCTGTGAATTTTTATTTTCCTTGAGAAATTAAAAATGTCTTCAACTATAAAATGCTGACTCTGGATAGCAGAATGTGAGACTTAACTTGTCCATGGCAGGGAAATGGTAGATATTATTAATTAGTCCTATTGGTTTTATTTCAGTTCTTATGGGCAGAACTTAGAGACGAGCACTTTTATGGGCGAGACATCATTTTCTATTCTGATTGCCATCCTGGGTCTTGTGTTGTTTTCCCATTTGATTGGGAACATGCAGGTATTTGAGTTGTGTTTTTGGGGAAAAAAATTCCTTTATGTACTCTAATTATTATTCAAACCATGTGAAACTTCAATGAATTTCTCTGTTGTACTTTCTGACTGATTATAATTTTGGCTTGATTCATATTTTAAAAAAAAAAAATCACTGATTGCGCTTGAGTATTAAAATATGTTTGTTTCTTGTTATTCCTGACCAAACCAGTGTCCTATCTTTTCTCAATCTCAATGGCTCTCTGATTTACTGTGTGATCTGTGTAATTCTTGCGTCACTTGAGGACAAATAGGCCATTAGACTAGTGTATTTAAAATAATTAGCTACCTTCTTGTATCATAACTGTAACATGTCGTTATCATTAATAGTATGGCTGTATTTGTGGTTATTTCTTTGGTGTAGACATATTTGCAGTCAACCACCATAAGGCGTGAGGAGTGGAGGCTCAAGCGAAGAGACACTGAAGAATGGATGAGACATCGCCAACTACCTGAAGATTTGAAACGACGTGTTCGACGATTTGTTCAGTATAAGTGGCTTGCAACACGAGGAGTTGATGAAGAAACAATTCTACGTGGATTACCTGCTGATCTTCGTCGTGATATCCAACGCCACCTGTTCTTAGACCTTGTTCGACGAGTATGATTTCTGCTATCCAAGACATATTTTACTCTTATTTCTTACGAACTATGATAGGCCATCCAAATTCTTAGTATGAGGGTTCATGAAATTGTAGCCAAGCCACACCGGATGGTGTTTTGAAAAACCTTTGCTTATGCCTATGTTTATAAAAATATTCCCTGGAGCATAATTGATCCTCAGATATCTGTGGATTTCCAGTTCTCTTCCCAACAAAAAACGATTTCCAGTTTTCTTACTACTGCCATTTCATACTAACTGACGACCAGAGTCCCGTAACTGGCCACACAATGTTACTTTCAACACATGATGATTTGAGTGAGCAGCTTGGCTCGAATGGTGCTCATATAAACACTTATCCCACCCTTTTGATTTTCAGGTTCCCTTCTTCTCACAGATGGATGATCCGCTGCTAGATGCAATATGTGAGCGGCTGGAATCCTTTCTGAGCACTCAGGGAACCTACATTGTTCGAGAGGGAGACCCTGTGACGGAAATGCTCTTTATTATTAGAGGTAGACTAGATAGTTCTACTACAAATGGGGGTCGGAGTGGTTTCTTCAACTCAATCATATTGAGACCTGGAGATTTTTGTGGCGAGGAGTTACTTGCTTGGGCATTGCTTCCAAAATCAACCGTGAACCTGCCTTCTTCAACCAGGACTCTTAAATCTCTTACCGAGGTTGAAGCTTTTGCTCTCCGGGCTGAAGACCTCAAGTTTGTGGCGAATCAATTTAGGCGCCTCCACAGCAAGAAGCTGCAGCACACGTTCCGGTTCTATTCCCATCACTGGAGGACTTGGGCAGCCTGCTTCATACAGGCTGCATGGCACCGATATAAGAAACGGATGTCTGCCAAAGATATTGCTTTTAGGGAATCCTTCACTATGGATTCAAATGTGGCCAATGAGAGAGAACACGGGGATGAAAGTCCTGCCGATTCAAATTGTTCTCAAACTAAATTAAACCTTGGGGTCACTTTACTTGCGTCAAGGTTTGCTGCAAACACAAGAAGGGGAGCTCTTAAGATTAAAGATGACCTGCCAAAACTACAAAAGCCTGAAGAACCTGACTTTACTTCTGAAGCTGATGATGACTAGCTAAGTCTATACAGAAGCATGCTGCTACCCTTTCCCTGGGATAATGATTCCTATTGTTCACATGAACCCTGCTTACCCTTTTACAACTTTGCGTCGGTATTGATTGCTGATACTTGTAAATATATCTTGAATTTAGGGAAGCAGGTAAATGGGGAGGCAGACTTGGCGGTTCTCTGTTAATTTCTTTGCTGGTGCATGAACACTAGCACGTTATTTAATCTTCATCAGCATGCTGAGTCATTGTGCAAACCGTAAATAACTTCCTTCCCTGTTTTTCTCGTCTCCTTGATCTCATTCATCGACTTTCAAGAAGACATTTTTTTATCAAGAACCTATTTAGCTAATTTAATTAGATTAAGATAATTAGATAAGCTAGTTAATTATACAAAATATGACATGTTTTTCTTAAAATATTATAATTATCTTTCTCAATATTTTTTTCTCTCTCTCTCTCTATTTGATTATGATTGAGGAAGTATTAATAAGTATAATTGAGAAAAAATTGATAAATATGATAAATAGATCTTACATTTAGAATCAAAATTAACTCAATAATTAAATCATACATTAAAGATAAGAGGAATAATACTTAACTACTTTCTAGTTGAGACAATCTTATTCGAGGTATTGTCGGGCACTAAATGTGAGTGCATCTTTAAGTGGAGATTTAAACTTTAGTTTGCCACGTTGTGAGGAACTAGCTCTTTCTGTTAGATCCAATCCCTGTTAGTTGCTCGATGTTCTTTTTAAAAGAAAGAACCTTTACATTTCAAACTTGTCAGCTAGTTCTCGCAAGGGCCAAATGAGCGTGTCTCTGAAAACTCATCAAATATTTTTTATGATATAATTGTCATATTAATTGGGATTGTTGTAATCTTAACAAAAGTGCCCGCTTCGAGGGCTGTGATTTTAGAATAAATCTATATTCTTGACCGAGATTCTTGCTTAAATGATACTACCTCCGGTCTTAATTATAAGAACTAGTTGACTGATTTGAGGAGATTAAAGAAATAAGTTAATATAATTATTTGTAATAAATAAATATTGCCTTTCCTAAGATATCCTTCCTAATTAAGTATATTAGCTAGAACCATCATTATTAGAAAGACTATTTGAGGGGGAAAAAAGCATAAATATGAGACAAAATGGATTAGAGTTTTATATTTAGAACCAAAATAAAAGTTAAACAAGATCTTACATTAAGGACAGGAGGTAATAATAAGAAAAAAACACCAATAACGTTATTAATTCTATTATCTAATTAATCCAACCTAAAAGGCATAAATAAACTTCTAGAAAGGTGTTATGATTTGTATTTCGTTTATGTTATTAATCATTAATAATATTAGTAAGAATTAAAAAAGGAATAAAAAATTTTCAAATAATAATAATAATCGAATGATAGCTCCCCAATTCCTCACAATGCAACGATCTCGTCAAGGATCGTTAGGTCAGTCTGGCCATAAGCAACGAATTCTAACATCATCTATAAGATTTTATGCTTTATGTTGGTGGTTATTAATGCAACAAGGATGCGCAACATGATCGATTTTATGATCAATCTCTGGAGAAGATATTCTTTTTACCTTTCTGGTTACCATCGTTGTAAATTGAAAAGGAACCAAAGTTACCAAGAAAAAAAGTATCAAAAAGATGACGCCTGCCTGCTCTACAGCATTATTTACAAGCCTAAATCAAAGAGCATATCTTTTTGCAAGTTCATGTGTCGTACCTCCGTGTTTTCAGTCACAAACAATTCTTTTTTCTTGGTCAATACTTGTCGAAGTCATAGAATTCTATGTTCTTGTACTTCTGGGATATAATCTCTGCTTCAACTTTTCTTGCTGTGTCTGTCGCACAACCAACAAGAATAAGAATAGATGTTCCAGCAAATCCCCTGAATGCAGTCAGGTGCGTAACCTGCTCAACAACAGCTGGTCCGGCAGCTAAAATCGCCAGAAATGTTGAACCGAGAACTGATATTCGACTAAGAACCTGTTCCAAACATATATTAAAAGACTGTAAAACGATGTTCACCCAAAAAAGGCAAAATGAATCTAACAGAGTTTTCGTTAACATCAGCGTTTCAAGTCAAAACTTAGCCAGTTCATAAACGTCAGAACATTATCTTCTGAGGCATTGAAGTATTATGCTGCAAGGAATATGGCGGACGCATAGGTGCTTGAGCTAATTTTTCACAGAACCAGCGATATGATTAAAGTATACATGAATTTGTTTACTGATGACATTCTTAGTTCCCCAAGCCAAGCATTTATTAGTAGAAGGTTGTTATTCTGATTCACTCCTCTGTTTAGATTCAAGGGCAGAATGCTCATTCGTTATTCATAAAAAGGCAGCTATAAAGTTAACAGTTGCCAGCTAGGACAAATGCAAGAACTTTGATCAGTGATAGTTTCAACTTTGATTTTCATAGTGATATGACTAGAATCATCATTATAAAAGTAGAACGGAAGTACCTTTATTATTAATTATTGTGGTAAGTTATTTTTTCTACATTCCATGTGTTTACAAGGGGGTTGAGGCTAGTTAAACGGAAATACGGGAATCATATGTAGGATAGGATTGTATAGAGTTTTTGGCTAATGAGATGTTATTAGCAGGCAATCTTTTATATCAGTTTAGTTTAAACACAAAATCTGACCAGTTTGCATCAACAGTAACCAGTACAAACTTAAAGCTTCTTGGCATGCTACGGCGCATTTCTTTCAAAATAATTTAAGTAAAGCAGAGAGATCTATCAGTATAGTTATAATGGAAAGTGAAACCAGATAAGGCAGAAAGTTACTGTTTTGATAAAGAGGGCTGTAGTTCTTCCTGGTCGGACAAGTGGAATTGATGCACCTTGACGTTTCAATTGTTCGCTCAAATCATCAGGGTCCAGTTGTAGGAAAGTGTAATAATAGTTGAAGAATCCTATTAAAAGGATGTTCATTGGCAGATAGAAGGAACCTGCAGATTAATATCCAGTCAAATATTAGGGCAACAGAACTTGATAGGACTTTAATTACATCAATTTGACGCCAACAGCAAGGCCAAGGCCTTGCTATGTCTATGCATCCTAATTAGTGTGTGTGTGTGTGTAATCTCCGCTTGATAATGCACTAAATCCCAGTTCTGTATAATGGCGACAGCCAAAAGATATAAGCACCACATACCCCCAGGATTCAAAGCCAGTGCAGCTTTCTTCAGAGCATTTATGCCAGTGAAACGTGCCAAAGTACCAGGAAGGGCTAATGATGACGTAGAAAATATGATCGGCATCACTCCAGAACTATTTACCTGACAATCAAAAAGGCACAAACAAGACAATCTAAATTAGTGAGCTTAGCTCTTTATGGGCAAAAGATTCATAGTTTGAAGCATAAATGATTACAAGGAACAAGTTTCATGAATAACCAAATATATTAGATGATATATAATTAGATAATTAGTTATGGGACTCGATAGAAGAAGTTGGGGAAAGAGGAAAACCTTAAAGGGTAGGTAAGCAGATTTATCAAGTCCTCTGCTTCTGCTTGTGTATCTTGAAGCATAGTTAAGAGGAATCTTTCTCTCTGCTTCCTGAAAAGCCATGTTTGAAACCAATTGTAAAAATTTATTTACTGCCTTGAAGTACTTAACATCTAACAATATAACTGATATTTACCTGAACATAAACAATACCAAGAACCAACAAAAAGAAGGACACAATCAAGGTGATGAGTCCAACGTAGTTAGCATCATTAAATGCTTGTACAAATGTCCTTCCAAACGAGGCAGGCAAGTAGGAGATAATGTTTGTGAATATCAAAAGCGATGTGCCATTCCCAAGTTTTAGGTCCGAAATTCGCTCACCAATATATGTTGTAAATACAGATCCAAGAGTCAATAAGACAACAGAAGATAGAACCCACTGTGCACTGAAGTCATTGACATAAGGACGTAGGTATAGTACTTGACCGATTGCCTGTAAAGAAAGTAAAGGGAAGCATATCAGGACAAAAATAAGAAAGCTAGGCTAAATATGGCACTGACAAAACGATTATCTCCTTATACTACCAGATTCACCCTGGCATATAAGGGGACAACTATAAAGGCTGAACGATCAAATGGGGGGGAAAAAAGATCCTCAGTGTATCTTCTTACTTTTCACTGTGCTATTTTATCCTATTTACAAATTCAAATTATCCTTTGTGCACCTGCTGTTTTGGTCATGTCATGATTAGTAGAAATCAAGAGTCATTCTCTCAAGTATAGTCCTGATAATTTTCCTTTGGATGATCATAAATGTCCCACTTACATTTTTTATATACTAAGGAATTTTAGTAGGAAAGCAGTCGGTTATTTATTTATGATGAAATAAAGGTCCAAAATTGGCATACAATTTTATACTATAAGTTCCTGACCTGTACAACAGCGAATCCAACTGAGGCATATCGTGTGTACTGAAGAACTTTCTTTCTTCCTGCCTCACCTTCTCTTTTTTGAAGATCTTGCAGCTTGGGATATACTTGTGCAAGAAGTTGAAACACGATTTGGGCGTTAATGAAGGGGACAATGCCAAGGGAGCATACCCCAAGTCTGCCAATACCTCCACCAGAAAAAGAGTCCAGAGTGCTTAATAAACTGTTCTGGTCCAAATTGCCAACAAAAGCATCCCTATTAACCCCACCCAGTGGTATGTATACACCGAGCCTAGACAAAGCAAGAAGTCCTAAAAGCTTGAGAAATTTTCCTGGTAATGGACCTTTGAAGAAGTCCCCAAAATCAATTGAACTATCCTCTATTGCAGCTGCCAATGACAAATTGTGCTAATTACTAGCTAAAAGACGTAAGCTTGAACACAAATGCAACCTGCTTAATGATTAAAGTCAAGAAAGAAACCTGCTACACCTCTGGAAGAGTTAGGTTTTCCCTTTTCAGTACTCGAAGAACTCTGAAACGTTTGTGAAAACAGGCACACCAAATTTTCCCAAGAAGAATTCAGAGCAGAAGATAAATCCGAGTTAATACCCAAGGGATCAAAATTTGCTGCGTCATTGCTGCATAAAATTAGAGTCAACAAAATTGCGTTAAAATAGCTACAGTTAATAAAACAATGCCAAAAAGAATTTTATGGTTGTTATCCATATTAACACCAGACCTCCGACCAGAGTAACGAAGGTAGTGTCTCCCTTACTACACATTAGCCATATTGCACTAATACTCAGCTGAACACATTGAAAAATCATATTAGCTTCTGAAATATATCTCCAGCTTATATTGGTTCACTCTACCACACTGAATTAGACCTGTTTGATTGGAAATGCAAACTAGCACATGCTCAGCCGCTGTACACCTTTTGCTAAATTGTTACTTCGTGTGAGAGCTAAATTCCAGTTATGCTTGATACCAACCGCTCAATTATGCACAGTTGGAAACTCAGTCACCCTTTACAAACCGGTCTCTTCGAGAGATCCATCCAATTTAACAAGATGAATACACTCAAGCTCAATTTCGGCGTATAAAGAAACATTAAAAACCCAAAAAAGGGGGAGGGGGAACTGGTCCAGTGGAATGGAATCTTCCCTCACCAGCTTTATGAATCAGTTACACAGTTAGTTAAATGACGGATACACATTTCAAAAACCTTATCGGTAAAGCTGAAATGATTACTCCTGAGGGGAAGGAGAGGGACGTATGGGCACAGTGCACCTACCTGGTTGAGAGGTGCCCAGGATTCCACGAGTGAGTGTTGTTGGGTCTTCTCTGGATAGAGATACTAGCTCGGGCGAAGCAACTTCTGAATCTATAAGAGTTTTTGCAGTGGAGACGACTGTAACAGAGGGGAGAAAGAGAAGCTTCTCCGACCGTTATCACCATTTTTATCTCGAAGCTCGCTTCCCTTGGCTTGTGGATGTGCTGTATCACGAATCCGTCCTCTCCAAGAAAAGAAAATGATAATTGAATAATACAACGATCGTCATAATATATGTAATTATATATTACGCATAGAAAACAAATAACGCATTTTGACAATATATATAATTTTAAAATCATGTTAATTCTGGTTAATAGAAACATGGAATTGAATATGCAAAGCTTGCTTATGATTTAAGATGTAACTTTTTTGGTGTTAAATTGTGTTTTTCCCTCAATACTCATTTTGTAGTGTTAGTCAAATCTGAGATATTATTGTCAATATATTTTTTTTTTGGCCCAACACTACTCGATATATTTAGTTTTATTTTTAATCTTTGCAACCATTAATGAAATATTTTTTTTTGCAGTATATTTTACTGCTCTTCCGTCCTCAATATAGGATTCAATTATTAAATTGGTTTTGGTCATAAATATAAGACCTATTTCTCATATTTATTAATTTTCTCTAAATTATCCCTATAGATACTCCCTTAGTCATAATCAAATAAATGAGGAGATGAGGTATTAAGAAAGATGATTATGATGTTTTAAGAAAAATGTGTCACGTTTTTTATAATTAACTAACTTACCTAACTTTCTTAATCTAATCAAATTAGTTAAATGGGTCTTATATCAAGGACGGGAGGAATATATTAGATTATAATATTTTAATTAAGTGTTTTAAACCAGTATTTATTTCATTATTTAAAACCTTTTTCAAACTTCTGTTCTTTTTTTCCCCAAAAACTTTCAGTATTTATTTGTACCTCACATCATCGGTCTCACCCTCATCACTCGGCCCGCCTTTGTATCTAAAATGTTAAAGCATATCTGGCTTGTTGGACTTAGATCCAGAGAGAACATCATGGGCTTTCAAAAATGAAAATGCCCGAAATGTGTTTGGTAACCCTCATTGGCCCAATTTAACAAATATGGGCCTTGAATGGGCTCACAAGGCCACACTTCCTTGAACACCACCAGTATGGGCTTGGCCAAGCTTTTATTAGGTGTTTGCAGCCACAAAACAAGAAGAAAAAAATACTCTTCCCACTCATAATGTAAGATAAATTTAACTAATTTGATTACATTAAAAAAATTAGATAAATTAATTAATTATAAAAAATATAATATATTTTTTTAAACATCATAATCATCTTTGTTAATATTCTCTTTCTCTCTCCTACTTGATCATAGTTGAGGAAGTGTCAGTAAGATTAATTTAGAAAAAATTGATAAATAAAAAAATAGACTTTACATTTAGAACCAAAATTAATTCAATAATTATGTTCTGCATGGAGAACTGGAGGAGTAATATGTCGACTATGTCGGCATATTTTATATATATATATATATTTATATGCATTGAGTAATCAATCAAAAAGACAAAAACAACTGTAAAAAAGAGTAAGCTCGAGAGCCTTGAGACAAAAAGAATGTGGCCACTGTAAGTGACAAGAGAGTTGGTTCAAATTTATATTAAAAGGGTTAATGAAGACCAAAAATAAAAATCCGTTTTTAATAAGCATACATAGACATCTTCTTATGAAAAGACAAACAATCAAACATTAAAAAAAATTCTATTGAAATCAATCCTATTTAAAATATTATCAGATATTAAATATAAATATTTTTTATATTAGGGATTTGAATCTTGGTTGGTTGTGTTACAAGTAACTACTTTGTTTTTTTTTTGGTGTGTTAGAACCAACCTCATTGATAGAAGAAGAGAGATTCCAACGTTGAAGAAAGATGGGACAACATGAACCTGCGTGGCATCCAATCCAACTCCAAACCTACATATATGGTCAAGTTTGCCAGCTTTAGAAGGCTGCCTCTTTCTGACACGCATCGTTTTATTAGATTCTCATTTTAAGAAAGAAAAAATCTTCCGCTTTTTGGCATGCCATCTTCTGAGCACTTTTATTTCTCTTGAATTAAAAAAGGCCAAAACTTGGTGGGTGGTGAGATCAGAGATAATACTGAATTTAATTAATTCGAGTCTATCAAGATGGGATAGTGCAGGGAAGTTTGTGCATGTTCCTTTCCCTCTTGTCGCCTTCCCCCAATATCCTCCTCTCGTCATATGTGCATCATCAACTTCTGCTATATATAGCTTTGCCCTTTAATTATTATTATTATAATAATAATATTATTATTCTATGCCTTTTGCCTTTTTAGGGTGATATATAGGAATATTATAATAAGATGAAGTTTGAATTGGAAAAGAAGCAACCAAACAAGCAGGCAACTTTGAAGCTGAAGATACACAATTGTGGCTGCTTGTCACATGCAAGAGTTGTTGGTCGTGATGCTTGATTTCTAACTTGCGAGATAATCAAAGTGGTCATAATTATCTCCCGAAATATAAAATTACCATAATAATGATAATGATGTCATGCAGATGCAAAATTACATTATAAAAATGATGACAAGCATGCCGTACCTACTACACATGCAAAAGTTAAACTTTTTAGAATTAAGTTTCTTTCGGTTTTTTTTTTTTGGGTTAAAGGGGTGGTCAATTGTGGAGTAGTTTTGATCAGAAAAAAAGTCACTTTCAATGGCGAGACGTGCAACCATGGGGTCCCACTTTTACTCATCAACTTTGAAGAATCAAAAAAGGTCAAGTGAACGACAAAAAAAAATAAGCCGATTAAATTGTTAATTTAGCAAAGCATATACATATATATATTTTTGTGTATGTAAAGTGGCATAGGGGGAACAGGTAAGCATGGGGCTATAAAAGCCTGCATTTCTACCAAAAGACGAGAAACTTATCAAAAGCCATGTCCTTTCTGTGTCATCTACTTGTTCTCCTCCATTCTCATCCGATATTCCTTCATTTTCTTTATATAAAAGTAATAGTATTATATAATATTCAATATTACCCACTAACTCAAATGAAGTCCGCATACATAAGATCATTTAAAAAAACAAACCCATTTTATGTACTTCACACAAACACGCACAACCTTTCTTAGTTGAGAGGTTATTTGGAATAACGTTTATAAAAATAAATTTTATTATAATTGTATTATATAAAATTAAAATAAAAGTCAATCATAAATTTTGCTAAAAAAAGGTTGTTTGAATACCCATTTAACTTTTGTAATTCTCAAAAGTTTTAAATGAGATTTCAAGTCTAACCCTGAACGAAATTCTTTTGTTTCCTATGCCAATCTGGACATAATAATTTTTTTAACTCAAATTAGCTTTTAGACTGTTGAACTGGCTTTTTAAGGGATTTTTAAAAGCCCATAGAAACCTGCCTTATTAAAATGAATAATTTGGGCAATGAATAACTTTATCCCCAGATGAAGTAATATTTGCAAGAAATGAATAATAAAGAGCGAAGGGATAGATAACGTCGGTCTGGTGAAGTAACAAAGGAGGGTGAAGAATAATATCGGGCGAGTGCCCCAACAAAAGCTGCTTACCTTTTATGTAATACTCCTCCGATCCTTAATATAAGACCCATTTAACTAATTTGATTAGATTAAGGAAGTTAGATAAGTTAGTTAATTATAAAAAAAGTGACACATTTTTCCCAAAATACCATAATCATCTTTCTTAATACCCCATCTCTCTCTTCTACTTGATTATGGGTGAGAGAGTATCTATAGGAGTAATTTAGAGAAAATTGATAAATATGAAAAATAGGTCTTATATTTAGGATCAAAACCAACTCAAAAATTGGGTCTTATATTAAGAACCGGAAGAGTAGTAAGATTAAAAAATAGATATAAATAAAAAAAGGGGGGCTAATTTAGGAAGTGGGGAGGAGCATAGCTTCAGGTGGGTGTCAGGATGATGCCTTTTGAGGGGGTGAGACAGCAAAAAAGTTGATTCATTGTATGCTCAGTGTTGCTTCCAACACAATCCCTAGCCTTTATAGGCAGAAGCTTTAGCTATAACCCGAAACACATACAGTCCGAAATATTAAAAATAAAAAATAAGGATTGGGATTAAAATTTAAAAAATATGTTAAAAGATTATTGAATATGAATAATTATTTGTTATCTAGAATTAGACAAATTTATATATATAATTAAGAAATACTATCAGATTAGACAATATCATAAGAGGACGTGGTATTTTTTAATCTCATCTATATGAGATTGTTTAATCCTATATAATAAAAAATTATTCATATTAAATACTTTTTAATATTTTCTTTTCAACCCCAGCCTCAATTTTTACCCTCTCATTTTTAATGTGTTATACCAATCTGGATCATAGGGTTTATATCTCTTTCTTAGCAAGGTTGTGCCAAGAAGAAGAATGATACACCAGAATACACCAAAAAACCTCTTAATGAATTGACTCCATTGAAGAACATAGAATATGTATAAGCTTTTTTTAATCATGGTTGTATAGTTAAAATGTATTTAAAAATACCAATAAACTATTGGTTGAAGTAATAGTAGTCTTATCTCTATAAAAAAAAGAATACAAGTTTAAATTTCAGAAAATATTTGTTAGGAGGCCTATTCTTTAACAGCTCTAAATCCAAAAAGAATTAGTCTCCGGCTCATTGTAAAGTTACCTTTATTTTACCTTAAAAAAAGTATTAAAAACAAAATATGGGTGTTAAAAAAGTTATCATCAGTCGGTGTTGGGACGATGACTATGGATTCTGATCTGCTTTTAACAACGGTACAAGAGCTAAGCACAAGGAGAGCATGTTAACAGCCTGCTCAACTACCATTGCCCTTTTGTCTTCGCATTCGATTTTTGGTTTAAAAGTTAGTTTGGTATTCAATTTAGTTTTAAATATAAGATTATAATTTATTTTATTTTTTTATCTATCTATTTTTTTAAGATGATCATTATAGTAGTTGCACATGTTAAATGTTTCATTAAATAATAGTTTCTAGCTAATACGTATGATTAACAAAGATATTTTAAAAAAACACTTATTTATTATAAATAACTAACTTAATTAATTTAGGAATTGAGAGAAATTTTTTATGTGGATAAACAATTTTAACTTTTCTTTATTATTGTATTGACTATGTTTATATGAAGTA